TGACTGTTTGTCAAATACAGAATACATATATTTTAGAACAATTTTCTTTTTAAAATGTGGATGAAATGTTTTGCTTTTTATGTATTTTTTATGTATTGTTTTTGATTTGATAACTTTGAACTAATTTCTATTAGCTTCAGATCTTGATCAAAGTTTGGCACCCAATTCATAGCAGTGCTTATATTGATTTTCTGACATCTTGTTTTCTGTAAAGATTTTATTGGTAGGTTTGCAAATGTGTATCAGACTGTGCAATCTCTCCATGAGTTGGTTTTGAAACCCAGTATGGGATTCTGAGATACATTACCAAGGATACTATTACAAGATAAATCATTTGCTTTATTGAACACATACAACAATGCATATTTCCACTGAAATCAGTGACCTTTGATGTGTATCACCAGTGATAAGTCAAGTAGAAACAGTCAAAATATTTTATCAGATTTTCTCAATTTTTGCATGATATTTTCATACAGGACATCTGTTGTTCAAACTCAGGGAAGACTTTATACTGATAAATAAGGTGACCAAGTTTGATGAAGTTTGGAATAGAATTAGTAAAGTTATTATGTACACAATAACAATTATTAATGACGACGACAATGACAATGACAACGACAACGCAGGACAAAATTTTTCCCTTAATATACCTTTCCCTTCCATCTTTGATGGTACGGGCAAGGTAAAAATATAAAATATCCATATTTGTTCAAAAATTGATTTACACTCAACAATCAAAATATACTTTATATGGGTTCAGTATGTCAATGAACTTCGGAAGACATACGTTGACCGATACTTTCATGAACAAATGTGTTCAGTTCATAGTATTCATAAAATTTCAAATTTGTTATTTGTCATTATGTACAGTGTAGCTATAGTTTCAGATTCTATGCACAAAAACTCACTTGATGGATAGATGGACTGGCAACAATAAAGTACAATTATTGTCTGATTTATTTATTGTAAACAGACTTACCTTAGATAATCCTTCTATGTGTAAATCCTCTAGCAATATGGTTAATAGTCTCACTGCATGGTCCGAGAGAGCCACAGTGAGTACTCCAAACCCTTGTAATCTGAATATATGTAATTAATTGAAACACATCTTATTTGTCGTCTGCAATGGTCGATTTGTTGGAACCGTTCACAATTCAAAATTGAACTTCATTAATTTAGTAGGACATAGTATTCGAAGGCAAAGAATAGAAAACAAGACTAGTTTTTGCAAATTCATTTATGTTTGGAAAAGACTATTCATTATATTACTAATATGGTTCGATAGCATCCATTTAATTTCCACAGGTAAATGGATGTATAGGAATTAATTTGGCAGAAAAACATCTCTCCAAATTGCTCTGAAAAAAAAACAATTGGCCAACCTTTTTAATTGTTCAGATTTGCGAGCATTAATAAAATAAATTATTGGGTATGAATTAATGAGTTGTAAATTTATATAATAGGCCCATATAAATGATATAAATAACTTTGATCAAACATATTTTCAGAACTCACCCTTTTGCAGAACTTGGTCTTGTCTGAGCATGTTCTTTACTCTTAGAAGCACTGACATCTTTACTTTTGGGTAAACTACTATCTTTATCTTTGGTGGGCATTGATTTATCCATAATATTGCTAGCATTGAGACTGAGTATACCTTGTAGACCAGTCAGAATACACCATACACCTAACATGTTAAAATTCTGTACATTCTGTCCACCTGTTCTTGTAGAATTTTGTATGGTACCAGCAACAGTATTAAACACGGCCAGCTGTGTACAGTAAATAAAACTCTTTAACCTTTTGAACATCATGATTTTTCCTCCAAAATTTTGGTTAAATATTTTCACATATATTTTTTTAATTTGTTACTTTGGACCAATTGAACATAAGCTCTTGCTCAAAAATTTTGACAAAATAAGAAAAAAATTCAGCAGGTTTAATTCAAAGGGTTACAGATTGTTTGCTGACACCATTTGTTTTCATTCATTTTGCCTATTCATAAATGTTTTTCAAAATTATGTTGATGTATGAAGTAAATATATAATTTATTGTCTGTATGATATTTATTTGGATTAGACATAACTTGGAAATTGACATTTGCAATTGAGTTTCAGCCCCCAAAAAATCTTTTGTTTCCTGTCATCATGCACATCAATTTGAAACATGTGGCTCAGACATTTTTTGCAATTTTGCATACTGTCAGTTAGGGTACCCATAAAGTTAGTCATTATTCAATAAATGTTACATATATCTTGTTGTGGTATAAAATAATCTTAATACAAAGAAAAATACAAAAAAAAATTAAAACCATGTCATTTTTGAATTTTCTTTAGGAAGAAAAGCAGAATTTATTCAGTGAAAGTAATTTTTTTTTAAATTCAAATTTAAATGTATTATAACTAGACAGTTCTAATTTTAGAATATTGTTGAACATGGACGACCATTCAAACCAAACTCATTTTGATTATGGCTTTAGACAGATTTATGCCCCTGTCTGAATTTGTGGGAGTTCATTCATTCCTATTACAGTACCACTAGGATAAACTAAAAATGTAGAGATCAGAGAAGTACTCACACTTTTCTGTACGATGGACACCGCATATCCTTCCATCTCCTCATCCTTGGAGGTGGATACGCCCCGCATCCCAACACTGACGGCTATGTTCAATATGGTGCTACAAGTTGCTACAGTAACACCAGCATACAAACAACTCATTGCTATGGTAACCAAGTCATTCAGACGAGGCAAAGTCAATGGTTCCAAAATCGGTAATGAGAAGGCGTGGGATACAATTGTAATGTCATTCATTAGTGACTGAAAACTGAAGAAGAAAAATATTTATTAATAAACTGACAAATCACTGATAAGTTCTTTTTATGACACTATTTATCAAAATTTGATATTGAGTCACACTCACTAATCATTGCCAAATCAATGTATTTTTTGTATACACAGGTTACTGGTGTTTTATCAAAATTGAAAGCAGCAATAGCAATAACTATCAATCTTTATTCTTAGATTATTATTTTCAATAAAACGTTTCATGTGTCAATTTGTAACAGCCACTGCCAGTACACAAAATGTAGCATATATGCTATTTACAAACAGTGAATGTATGATTCTCCTTACAAATACAGTGACAAATAGAAACAATGTTTTATTTCATTACTATACCTGTTCCTTGCAGCTATTGCATCAGTCACATTGTTCGGCATAATAAAATAATTGCCAGACAGGGCTTCTTTGTATCTGCTGACATATCTCAGTAAATATGGTAGATTGAGACAGATTTCCAGCAACGCATCAGCACCCCCTAACTCGTGTAAATTATCAATGTTTCGGGCTGCAAAATACGTCTTAATGTCTATGCTGGAGTCAAACGTACCACTGTCAAGCATGAAACTTTTCTGTGGAAATAAATGAATGATAATAAACATTACAAAATGTTACAACACTACAGCCATGGCTCCATGTACAATGCGTGTAAATACATTGTATGTTTCACTCTCTACCACTCTCTTACAAGGATTGGAACCAGAATTAGAGTGGTTTATTTTAATGCAATTCAATGTATGGCAGCCACAAAATTGTACACAAAATTATTTCTATGAATATGCCTGTTTACACAGAAACAATTTTCAGTTCTTCAGCTTTCTCTCACCATAATGCACAGTTTGGAAATGCATGCAGTAAACACAGTTGAATTTCAAAGACATTATTTATGCTTATTATTGTAAGATTCCAATCAAATCTCCACATTCCTGAATACTATATTCCCAGTACAGGCAGAATACATTATCTCTGTTGGTTCATTCTGCCAGACAAGCACTTTCAACTCACCAATGATAGTTCCTCATAAGTTGATCTCTTCTTTGTGGATACTAAATTGTCATAACTAGGACTGACTTCTGTAAACGCTGATGTCAACTGCTGAAAGAAATCCCCAGGAAAGCCAGTAGGAGCTTCCACATGCTTCACTGCAGGCTTCTCTTGAGCTGTTGACAGATTATATATACACGCTACTGTAAAATACTTTATTTTTACTTGGAATTAATTTTAGCTATTTTCACTGAAGGCATAAATCCTTGTAATTAAAATCCAACGAATACATGTATACCTTTTTTCCTATATTTTACATTCAACTCGTCAGAAATCAGTGAAAATAAATTCCATACAAAACACATAAAAAGTCTTTTTAGTGAAAATTAATTCCAGCTAAAATAAAGTATTTCACAGTACACTGTGCATTGCATATCATTTCTAAGAAACAGTTTTTAAATCACAATTATTCTTTTTCCTTATTGCTATGTTACTCAGTTAACACCAGATTCCACCAGAGGGGGGGGGGGGTGATTTTATAACCAGTTATCTGTTAGAATGTTTGCAATGGCTTTTCAAACTTTCGTAGATATCCTTGGCATGAGATATGTCTTGCAATGTATTTGTGGATGCCAAGATATCACAAAATGACATTACTTTGCAGTGTTTCATGAGTTTCTATGAATGAATTATATGTTTCTCCTATTTTATGAACATTTCGTAAACTTAAAATACTTTATTTACTCTAATAGTAGCGTATAGGCGTACGTAAAGTTCAGAGGAGTTTCTAATGTTAAAATAAGTAATATTTTAATGATTCAGTATACAACAATTCTGATTTGGGTTTGTATTGGAGATGTGCTTCTAATATAGAAAATATGATATGAATTGATACAAAAGTGAAGCTGGTATACAAAGTTACAAAACCCTAAAACTATATACTCCTCTACTAATCAAAAGCAAATCAAACCCTCACTGCTTACAGGATAAACATTAGTGTACACTTGGTTCCAAATCTACTAGAAAACCTGAATTCAGCTATTACAAGAAACACAAATCTAGAACGCAATGACAAAGAGCTACAGTAAAATACTTTATTTTAGCTGGAATTCTTTTTAGCTAAAAAGATATTTTGGCTGATTTGCAAAATTTTTTATTTTCACTGATATTTGATAAGTTGAGCGAAAGAAAATAAATTCCAAGTGAAAATAAAATGCTTTACAGTACATTGTGTGGTCAGATTAACTTGCTTTAGGATCTGTGGAAAAACTTACTAGCTGCCTTGGATGACATCGGCATCTTGGATGACTTCATCATAGCAGTAAATGTTACGATGTCTGTTTTCTGTAACAGTCCATTTGCTTTACACATACCTTCTATCAAGAACATCAGTTGTTTCTGAGAAAAAAAAAATACATATATAATACACATGACATATAAAACACAAGGACAAATGATATGACTATATTATACAAATGATGTGCAAATTAAAAAAAAACTTTAATAGTGTGCACACACTGAGTTGAAGAGATACCTGTGATACAGCGCAGTATTCATCATATTTCAATAATCTTTTCAGACAGAACTCCATCAAGACTTTACACGCTGACATTACGGTACTGATGCTGGATTTAGGAACTGAAACATTAAACATGGCATACCATAAATCAACAGATTGCTTGCAAGTGTGAGATGTAAGAACATTAGTGGCCAAATAAAAGGATGATATTGAGTACCCCGGTAGTACTTGGTTGAGGCAGCATTTTCACCTTTGCACTACCATCTATATTGTAATCCCTGTGAATGTTTTCAGATTAGCATCTAGTGAGGACCGCATAATCTCATTCATAATTTCCTCATCATTTTCAATTACTGTTGGGCACTGAAGCAAGAAATATATAATGTAATCTAATGTTGATGTCTACAATATTGTAATGTTGAACAGTGAATCAACACCATTGTTACGATTGCTGTCTACAATATTGTAATGTTGAACAGTGAATTAACACCCATGTTACGATTGCTGTCTACAATATTGTAATGTTGAACAGTGAATCAACACCATTGTTATGATTGCTGTCTACAATATTGTAATGTTGAACAGTGAATTAACACCCATGTTACGATTGCTGTCTACAATATTGTAATGTTGAACAGTGAATTAACACCCTTGTTACGATTTCTGTCTACAATATTGTAATGTTGAACAGTGAATTAACACCCTTGTTACGATTGCTGTCTACAATATTGTAATGTTGAACAGTGAATTAACACCCTTGTTACGATTGCTGTCTACAATATTGTAATGTTGAACAGTGAATTAACACCCTTGTTACGATTGCTGTCTACAATATTGTAATGTTGAACAGTGAATGAACACCATAGTTACGATTGCTGTCTACAATATTGTAATGTTGAATTTACTTACTGTCGGTTGCATGTGTACTGATAAAATGTGAACACAAAGCAACAAATGAAGAGTAAAAACACTCATATTGGTCTTCATGGTCCAACAATTCTTCTTTACTGTAATATAAAATTCAGCATTAAGTAAAAGACATCATTCTAAACTTGATAACTTCTGATCTTATAAACTTAGATGCATATTGACTTGATCCCACAATGGCATCTTATTTATGTCAGAAGGAGTAAATCAAACTCAAATCACAGACAGTGTATAGTAGGGCTACTAGGGACTAGGGACTTTGGTTGATTGTTTTCAAACTCCTAGTAATTCCAATATATTGCGTTTTCTTCATGTGAAAAGAAATTTACTATAGTTTCATCAGGATCTTCTTAAACCATGCACATTGTTAATGGTGGCAGCAATGGAGATGAAATGAGATCTCATTTTAGCTCCATGGTGGAAGTGACAGATTTAATAATTTATCATGCTCCAATGATATAATTTTCAGTGATACTATGTATTTAATGGTGCAATAATCATTTTTGATGATATACATGTACATGTATAAGTAAGCACAGAGTAACCAGGAGGTACAATCAATCAACCAACCAGGCGGTTGGTAACGATGGCCGCCATTTGTGTCAACCATCGTCATTACAACATTGAGCAATAACACTAAAATATATTATGTTTTTGCTGTGCACCATGTATTCAATGAATTATCCACATTTCTAACTACAAGGCGTGTATTTAACCGTTTTCGTTGACATGTAAGTCTGTCAATTGACCTGGAGGCACACGTCGATCAGCCAGAAGGTTACCCACAAGAATGGCCGCCATTTGTGTTAACAAAGTCTGCACATGTATACTTTTTTTTTGCTGCAGAGCGTGTTTAATGAACTGTACATGTTTCTAACCATTTCCACCACTTACAGGTCACGGCAGAGCTCCAGAAGGAGTACCTACACTTTATGCAAATTTTTTTTAAAATTATGCTAATTTATTCATGACGTAGCAGTTTCTGTGCTCATGAATATTCATTAATTTGTGGGTCAATACATTTTAAAAGGGGCGATATATTATTTTTGGGGGAAGAGTTAGAAAGGGGGATTAGCAATCCTTAGGGGGTCAATACAAAAGAAGTGACCCATTTGGAGAGCAGCCATGCTCCTCGTATCTGTTGTTGCACGTGACCTACAGATGTCAACTGTGTTCGTTCTTCGACGACTTCGACTGGCTTGTAGGGTAGTATTCTTGTGTTCTGTTTTCCTGACTTGAGTTTTTGAATCCGCTGTTTATGTTTTTAACGTCTTTCATGTCTATTGTAGGAGTGTCCAATCCGTGATTCGAACTTGCGATCTTTGAGTTCCCAGCGCACTGCACTGTCTTGTCCACTGTACCACGAGTGTCTTCACACCGGAGTTAGGATTTAAGTCCTATTCATAGGAGCACTGTCTTCACTAGCATTCAAAATCTAACTAAACATACTGGATTCGAACCAGCGATTGCTCACATTGCTGACATAGTACAAATCAACTGAGCTATGTGGGTAGTCATGCAAATTAAATAATTTGTTGTCATATTTAGCTTTATTGCCAAATGGTGTTTGCGAGAAAAAGATGGGCAGGCAAGGAATTGAA